GTGACCTTTTGCATTTTGTCCTTGCCTAAATGAATTGCTTCGAGCAGGCATCAGGCTTTGGACGGTCTGTGAGCAAGATGCTATGAGGGAACCCACCTCTCCCTTACCGCTGTCATTGTGGCCCTCTCAATTTCCTTTCCCTTGTAGACCCCAATCCACACAGTGGCCTAGAAACAGCAACAGCAACATGTCATGTCAAGTCGATTCTTGGCAACCCTTTTCAGAATTTTCCGGGTAGAGAATCCCCAGAAGTGCTTTACCATTCCCTTCTTCGGGGGATCCTTTACAGTCTTTGCAGCTTGCCCAAGGCCACTCTGGCTGTGAGCAGGCCCAGAGGAAGGCAAATTTATGCGTATCTAATGCCTCATGAGAAGAGAAGACTCCCTGGAAAAGACGCTGATGTTAGGAAAGTGTGAAGGCAAGAGGAGAAGGGGACGACAGAGGATGAGATGGTTGGACAGTGTCATCGAAGCGACCAACATGAATTTGACCCAACTCCGGGAGGCAGTGGAAGACAGGAGGGCCTGGTGTGCTCTGGTCCATGGGATCACAAAAAGTCAGACACGACTAAACGACTCAACAACAATGCCTCATATTGCTCACCATTGCTCTAATCTTAGAATTCTAGAGTCGGTAGGACAAGCTTCTTTCTCAGGGAAGCTTAGATTGCCTGAGACAGGAAATCACCTACATCGTGGTCTTTTAACATGACTAAACGACTAAACAACAACACCTCATATTGCTCACCATTGCTCTAATCCTAGAACTCTAGAGTCAGTAGGACAAGCTTCTTTCTCAGGGAAGCTTCTTTCTCAGGAAATCACCTACATCATGGTCTTTTATTTCCACATAAAGGCTTTTTTTTAAAAAAATCATATTTTTCCAGACCTTTCCTTCTCAAGTCAAAAAGTCTGTAGGTCAAGTCTCCATTAATCCTGTAACAGGCCGTTTTTGTTCCATTTTGGTTTTTTTCTGGTCTGTAAGTCAATTCTCAGGCTGCAAGTCAAACCTTAATTTTGCAGCCAGAGAAGTCTGTAACTCAAAAAGTCTGTAAGTCAAGCTGTCTGTAAGTCAAGGGTCCACTGTAAAGGCGTTTTTTTTAAAAAAAAAATCATACTTTCCCAGACCTTTCTGACTTTACAACTTTTGGTGCTTTTCAGATCTTTAGGACATATTTTGTCATTTCTGGTTTTACTCCAGGTTGGCACTATTTCCCATTTTAGTCTGCTTTCAGTTTAACAGCAGGCAAAGTCCTTTAATTCTGGCAGGCCTTTGGCAGTCACAATGGATAGCTGTAAAATGAGGTTTTAATCTGGCCCATTGCTCTCTTTTTCCTCTGTAATGATTCGCTCTCAATTTCCTTTTAACTTTTTAAAAATTAGTCCATTTTATGTTTCTTGCACTAGCTCTTATTTCATTGATTGCCACCTTGATTTCCATTGTTAGGGGGAAATGCGGAATATTAATCTAATAAATATTTAATCACGAAAATAAATTACTGTCTTTTAATTAATTAATTAATTGCTTTGTTTCAGGTCTTTCTCCCCAAAAGAGATCCAAACAGGCTCTTCCTACTTCTCACAAGCTTCCCAGATGTGTCTAAGTGTATATATTATATATTATTTGCCACTGAATTACATCCAACTTATGGATGTGACTAATAGGATTTTAATAATAACCTAATAGGATTTTCAAGGTATGTGAGATTAAACGATTAATTTTATCAAACTCAAAGAGAAATACATAGAGAGAGAGATTTTGGGAAGGGGTGATTTAAAGCAGGGGTCTCAAAACTTTTCAGCATGGAGGCCACATCATATATGCTTCATCTTTTTGAGGGCCGAAGGAACATGCCCACCTACTTGCCTGCCTGCAGGCCCACCCACCCATCCGCACACAAGGGCTGAAGGTAACGGACCTGAGACGTTCATCAGGCCGGATAAAAAGGCAAAACGGGCCGCATATGACCCACGAACCGTAGTTTGGAGGCGCCTGATTTAAAGAAATCTAATAGGCTGAAAAACTCTCACTTCTTCCACACTAGGCAATATGAGCTGTTTTTTTACAGAAATATGTTGGATACAGACATGCCCTGAAATTCCAAAATCTACCTAGCAATGCCTTTTTCATGCATTGATTTAACCAAAATGCCACCAATGGGACTTTTCACAAGCAAGAAGATGGCAATCTACTTGGATTGTTATGTTGGCAAACACTGGGCTGATGGCATACACAGGTTTAAGTGAGGTAATTTTTAGAAAAGGAATGTCAGCCTCATCAGTGGTCATTTCAGAAATGCACATCTCCTGCTAGTATTTTTAGTTTTCTTCTTTTCACAGTTATGTACCCACTCCATATATATATATCTTCCTGTGAAAGGGGGAATAATTAGGACTATGTGTTGTTGGTATTAAATATCCTACACTTCAAATATAGATGCTGAGAAACCTCATTATGAGTATGCCACTATGGAGGTCAGAGCAAGGAAGGAATAAAAACAAAATAAGTTAAATTGACAGACAAGATAAACATGGCACCAGCTAGACAGAGACAAAAAGAACAGGAATGTGTATGTGTTAGATTGTAGCATTTGTTAGGGGCATTTTTCTTCTTCTCCTATACCATATTCACTGAAGATTTACCTGTTGGCCTTCTCAGCACTATGAAACTTCCTGTCTGGTCTTACGAGCTGCTAGAAATAGAAAGTTCAAGTGTGCACTATTAATCTACATATGTCATGCCCTTGAAGAAAAAGATAGATGTAGGTTCTGTTGAAGTATGCAGCAGCATTTGTTAGGGGCATTTTTCTTCTTCTCCTATACCATATTCACTGAAGATTTACCTGTTGGCCTTCTCAGCACTATGAAACTTCCTGTCTGGTCTTACGAGCTGCTAGAAATAGAAAGTTCAAGTGTGCACTATTAATCTACATATGTCATGCCCTTGAAGAAAAAGATAGATGTAGGTTCTGTTGAAGTATGTAGCCACCCAGTATGCTACACATGGGCTAATTACCAACACAGTTGGTTACATGATCTCCTTTAAAAGAGAAAACTTTGCGGCCAGAGAAGTCTGTAACTCAAAAAGTCTGTAAGTCAAGCCGTCTGTAAGTCAAGGGTCCACTGTATGCTACACATGGGCTAATTACTAACACAGTTGGTCACATGTTCTCCTTTAAAAGAGAAACCTTCCCTAGGAACAAACATTGGTTTGTTCACTTGTTCTTAAGGTGTAGTGTCAGATCTCTGTCTTGCAATGGTCAGGTTGTGTATTTTGCCAGTCTGCCCCCACTTCCACCTCCCAGGGCTGAGCAAATATACAGTTTGTTGGCCATGCTCCTCACCCCCATAAGAATGTAACTCTGCTCTGCATGTGTGTTTTATTGTATTGTTTCTGTTAAGCTTTACATTATGTCATTCTGGCAGCACGGTCTCCCTGGGCCACATGAATGTATTTGCAATAATGAAACCTAACATAAAGAAAAGTAATTGGTTATTGATAAATCCCTAGGATTCAATGGAGAAAGCCTGGAATATATAGTCTTAAAAGCTAAGGAGAACGCCTACGTTCCAGGGGTGGAGAGGAAAGAAATACCTTCCTCCCTTCTCCCTCAAGAGTACAAAGAGCAGTGAAGAAAGAATTCTGGGATGCTTGAGGTGCTTTCAGCCACCTTAACAACCCACAGATGGGAAACTTAATTGTTTTTTTATATCCAGAATCCCACAGCCACCATGTTGTCACCAAGCTGGCTATGGGATCCTGGGACTTGCAGAAAAGGAAAAGGTAGGTTTTCCCATCTCCATAGAAGCCCAATTCATGCTAGCTCAGCATGGAGACGTAATGGCCAATTTATTATGTCATGTTCTTTTCTATGTATGTGGCTGTCTTCCACCTTCTTCCGTATGTTCCCTCTCACATGGTTAATCATAATCTGAAAGTACCTCAGAGTCCCAAACCTCATCAGCTTCCCCACCCCTTGCGCATGCTGAAAAGTATTCACTCCGATATTTTCAAACAGAAAAAAGTGACTTCTCCTCAGCCATAACATACCGGTAATTGGTTTCCACTTCATCCACAGTGCCACTTTGACTGGTTAGTCAGAACACAGGAATCATGGAGATGAGATACCCCAATAACTTCAACCAGACACATAGCTCAGCTATGAGAATGATTGCAAGTATGGGCCAGAAGATAAGTCAAACAAACAAACAAACAAACAAATACCAATTTGCTGCCCTTTCACAACAAACAAAATCTGCCACCCAAGGCAGTTGTCTTAGTTTGTGTCCCCCAAATTTGGAATTTCCGACTGTTTTTGGACTATAACTCCCAGAAGACCAAGCCAGCGTAGGCGATGGTCTTCTAGCCATTGAACATCTGGGACCCATGGCTCTTCTTAACAGTAATTCTAGCCCTGTCTGAAGCTCAAGCGCCAAATCAGGCAGACAAATAGCGAAGGACCAGAAAAAAGTGCAGAGTGGGACAAAAACACTGTTTCAAGGCAACAATACAGGACTGAAAGGGTCAAAAATAGATACAAGGCCAAAAGCAGGCAAGAAACACTATTGGTCCAAGCGATCACGAAAAGGAAGCAGGGAAATATATAAAGTTCAAAGTGTGTTGTGTTCAAGACAGATTTACTCAGATAGCTAAACTAGTGTTGGCTGCATGGGCTTTATTGCATGACGTGCTATCTGACTTAGGAAGTCAGCTGCGATACTCACACTAGGAGGTCAGGCTTCAATTGTTCTTACATACTAACCAAAACGAAGTTCATCTGTCTCTTCCTCACTCTTATAGAAACCTGTGCAAAAATGTACTGGAATAAACTGAAAACAGATGTCACAATAAAATTCTGGAATTACCTATTTACCATGAAATCGAATGCATTTGTGATTCAATGTCCTCCATTTTCTTGACTGTGCTTTACTACATATATTCCCCCAGTTTGGTTTTGAATGTTACCCTAAAACTAATAAAACCACATTTTTGAAAAGTGCAACATTGGAAAAACAGTATTTATTTCATAAATACATAGGAAAGACTAAATGAACATTCTTTTCAGAAACATTCCCACAAACAAATATGAATATTGCCTATAAGATATTGTTAACATGTTACTGCTTTTCAAGAACCACACACCAGTTCCCTTGGTCATAGTAGCTCTCCTGCACCGTTATGCCATCGAGCCTTCTACACAGCTGTTCCAGTTCTCCTTCACAAAAGACATGGTAATAACGGTGGAAAACAGGAGGACAATCTTGCACATTTGAAGAGTTGGCTGAAGGGTGATGTACCTTGGCCTGCTTTGTACTTTTCTTTGTACCATCTTTCAGATGCCAAGGGACCAACAAGTCCTGAGAGTCAAAGGAAGTTCTGTTGGTATGAACAGGCAACTCATTGGGAAAAATTTGATTTGCACTATATTGCCTGCCCTCAAGTTGAGTAACGTTCCCACTGCAATGCAGTGAGTCTCGGCAGCCGCTGTCTCCTGTGTCTGTTGCAGTATTGCAGATTATTTCCCCTTCTTTCTCACTGCCAGCTCTTTTTCCTTTCAGATATTTAGACTTCTGTTTGTTGTATTCTTGTTCTAGAGCCCAGACATAAATGAGTGCCCTTCCACCTGGCCTCAGCAGCTGGACTATCTCGGAGAGGGTCATCAGCCTTCTTTCCTAGCCAAGGGAAAAGCAGACGAAGTCAACATGGGAGCTACAGCAATGAGGCCACAAGTGCAAGCAACATCTTGGTATACTAAAATATGGATGTGTCCTGGTGATTCATATACATGAGGGCAGGTTTATTGTTCTTTTATCCACTTGTTTATTAAAATATTTTACCTTGTGTTTTGACTCCATAATACAGCCCCCAAGGCAACTAACAGCCTTAGCTAAAGCAATACTGTATATAACCAAGCAAGGAATCATTAAAAAAAAGGAAGGCATTAAAACACAACAAAAGAAAAGCCACCAGGTAGTAAATGTGAGCAACTTAATGAAAGGTACATTTAAAACTCAAATAGGTGCTTGCGCATCCCTCATTACAATTCATGACCTGGGCCCTGACTGGTGTATACAGAAAAGCCTGTATTGGGTCTACAAAGGTAAGCTTGGACATTTTTCTTTTTCAGGAATACATTTATCGAATTCTCCAACCAGCATGGCCAGTGGAACCTTTCCAAACCCTGCTAATCACAGCACCTCAGAAAGCTGGCTGGATTGCATAGCTAAGCCTCCTTGAAGGACTACATGACCAGAAGCAGCTGTTTCAAGTGCCAGATCCTCCTGGTCAAAGGGCCAGGGATCAAGTGGTGGGAAAACCTATGCCCGAGAGCCTGGAAAGTGCTGTCAATCAGAGGAGTTGCTACCGGACAAATGGACAAACAGTCCTGAAGTTTCTACGCTGGTGTATACAGAAAAGCCTGTATTGGGTCTACAAAGGTAAGCTTGGACATTTTTCTTTTTCAGGAATACATTTATCGAATTCTCCAACCAGCATGGCCAGTGGAACCTTTCCAAACCCTGCTAATCACAGCACCTCAGAAAGCTGGCCGGATTGCATAGCTAAGCCTCCTTGAAGGACTACATGACCAGAAGCAGCTGTTTCAAGTGCCAGATCCTCCTGGTCAAAGGGCCAGGGATCAAGTGGTGGGAAAACCTACGCCTGAGAGCCTGGAAAGTGCTGCCAATCAGAGGAGTTGCTACCGGACAGATGGACAAACAGTCCTGAAGTTTCTACATGACAACACTAGCCTAAATACTGCTTTAGTTCAAGCCAGTTAACACACTTAAATAACTGTTGATTTATTGAGTTCCCATTGATTCCATGGTCTGTTCTAACCTGGACTAACAACAAACTTTTGCAAACAACTCCAGGCAGAAGTTTTCACTTACCACAGTTGCAAAATGGTGGATGACTGCAATGGAGATACAGGCATCACATGATCCACTTCGGATTGGCACAGACAATGCATCACCCACAAAGGCCTGAAATCCTTTCTCTCCACAGATGTCCACAAGAGTCTTGCTACGATCACAGCCAAACTGCAAGAACAAAGGGGGAGAACTGCTACGAATGTGGCATAAACACACCAACCACACCAATTTCGCAGTTACAAATGACAGGGAGGAGTTAGATTGCTAAAATATCTTTCCCAGGATTTTCAATTCTGATATGATTTTCCTTCTGCAAGAGGAAAAAAAATCAGATACTGAATTGCAGACATATGCTCACTTCAATATTTGAGGGGGGAAATTTAAAAACAAGTCTGCAAGGGAGTTCCCTGTTACTTGTATTTTACAACTGATGAGCTGAAACAATGGCTGGCGTTCTGATGATGATAAACCACACCCTGCTCGCGAAATGGAATTAAGAAATTAGTTCCCTTTCTGCCAAAAATGCTTTTGCTTTTTCATAGCAGTTGTAAGGAGATACTAAGACAGCCCACACTCTGGCTTATCATTTATGTGTGGGGAACTACTGTGTCTTAGCCAACTAATCTCCCTCAGCTCCTCCAGTAAGGTGGACAAGCAAAGCATATCAAGAGGCTGACAGGAAGCCAAAACTTAGAATTATAACTTAGCTTGTCATCCTCTCAAACAGAAGAAATTTGGAGCCACATTTGGGAGACAGAAGCCAGGATTTGGGATTTAGGTGAAATGCTAACCTATAGGACACTGGTGACTTTCTGGTTAGTTCAGCTGAAGGCATTGCCAGCAGAATGCCCCAGTCAGCATGATAGTTGGCTTTGTGACTATAGGGTTCTGGAAATGGTAATCTGGCAAAGTAAATCCTAATTCTAATCTCTCCTTTAGCTAAAGGTAAAGGTTCCCCATGACATTTAGTCCAGTCTTGTCCGACTCTAGGGCGCGGTGCTCATCTCCGTTTCCAAGCCATAGAGCCAGCGTTTGTCCGAAGACAGTTTCCGTGGTCACGTAGCCAGCACGACTAGACACAGAACACCGTTACCTTCCCACTAAGGTGGTACCTATTTATTTACTCGCATTTCTACATGCTTCCGAACTGCTAGGTTGGCAGGAGCTGGGACAAGTGATGGGAGCTTGCTCCGTTGCGTGGATTCGATCTTACGACCGCTGGCCTTCTGACCCTGCAGCACAGAGGCCTCTGCGGTTTAACCCACAGCGCCACCATGTCCCAATCTCTCCTTTACTATACTTCTACTTACTTGTTCCATGTATTGCTTATTCCATTTTATGTTCTCCACCATGATTGCTACCGATGTGCCAGATAAGAGGGAAAAACATGGAAGTAGAAAGAACAAGTTGTGGTTTCCACCCTCTTTCTTCTCCTTTCATCAACTGGACTTGAACTCAAACAGGAGTGCTAGCAGCAATAGTGACATTTACTTTTTAAAGATGTACTTAAAACATCTGCACATGCATACACACACATTTCTGTCCCCTAAGACATCTCAAATGACTCACTGTAAAACAAAAATACAAAGACAGCTATGAAGAAAATAAAGAAGTACAAAGAAAAGGAAGTGCAGTCATTTTAAAGCTCAAGAGTGAGGATCCTAAGATTCCTACAGAAAGGAGCATGTTTTGCTAGTATGCAGAAGGAAAGGAGATAACAGGCCAGGTGAGAGCTGCATAAATTGGAGGCAACCAGTGAGAAATTGTTAGGGAGAACTTGAAGAAGAGTTTCAAATGATGACCATAACATATGGGAAGTTTGTTATAGGTTAAGTGATAAAATCAGGTCTCAAGCCCCCGAACATATGCATTTCTAGATGCATGCACAACAGATGGGAAAATATATAGGACTCCTTGCCCAGCAATGAATCTTGGTCCAAATCTGCAGTCCAGACAGATCCTCGCCTACTCTGGCGTCCTTGCAGCAACTTCATCCACAGAACAGACAAATCTCATGGTCATTGCCATTGTCTTCAAGCCAAATACCATTAAAGATTATTTCTGTACATCTGTACAAAGATTACTTCTGTGTGCCTCTCCATTGCGTTGCCTCGAGGCTGCCTGCCTTCTCACTTCACTTTTGCCCCATGTTGATTGCATTTACTTTCAATTATAAAATAATCAGCCCCCAGTCAGATAACAGGAGCCAAGTTTAAGATGTCTGAATACTTATCGCTGGCACACTGTTTGTGTTTACTGGAGACGGAGAACGCGCTAAACCATGGCACTAAACGCAGGGAGAATGCCAAACAAGTAATTCTGAATAATCAGGCCCTGCAAGAGGCAGAGAATGAATTCGAACTAGAAAAGATTGACGGTTTCTGTGCTCTGCTCAAATAATCAGAGCCTCCTCCTCCTCCCAACAGGATAAAATAAGGGTACAATAGCAATGTAGGCTACCATGGGCTCTGTGTAGTAAGGATGATTATGCAGTTGTTATATATAAGCTCTCTCTCTATATATACTTATAGAAGGCTTCCCCAACTGGGCACCCTGTAGACATGCTGGACATTTCCTACCCCTATAGGCAGCACAACCGATGGCCATACTGGTTGGGAATGATGAGAGCTGTAGTCCAGAGGGCGCCTTGTTGGAGAAAACTATGCCACATGCAAACCTTAGACAAGTTACTGGCCCTCCAGGCTGGGGAATTCTGGGAGTTCTCAAACCAAAAATGAACTTTCCGATGTTCTACATTTTAGACAGACTTGCACTGGTAATAGTAATATTTATATATTTTCTTTAAAAAGATAAAGAGGCAGGGCAGCATGCATAGTATTCTACTGACGTATGAAGAATAGAATTAGAATAGTTGGAAATTAGGGCAAAATGGTGAACAGCTTGGTCTTCCCCCACCTTTGCTACTGCAATCCAGACTTAGCCTGGCAAGGCCCAGACACATAAGCCAGGGCTCTGTCTCAAAAAATAAAAAATAAAATGGAGCCCCAAAAGAAGAGAATGGGACATCTCTACCTTTGGTTGAAATGCACAATAAATCCATTCAGTGCTGTTTTATGTAGTTTTGTGACTCTTCCCCCTCCTTTTTTTAAAAAAAAAAACCTGGCACAGAATTTTAGTAGCTGCTAGAATGGAAGTTATTGATTTATTAATAAATAAAATGTTTTCCTGCAGATACATAATTTGCTCACCAGCCCAGTTCAGATCACACAGAAACTCACAGTAGGAGCTCTCAGTTCAAGCATCCAGATCCAAGAAAAGCCACAGTGCTGCAGTGCGCTCGTTTTGGCCTTAAGATAACATTAAACCAACTCAAAAAGGCCTTGTGGGTAACCTGGAGGCTCCAACAGGATTGTATTTCCGTATTTGCTGGCATACAAGACCGTAACCTGGAGGCTCCAACAGGATTGTATTAGTATTTCTACCAACTTAGGAATAGAGTCTGTAGAACAGAGATCTGTATAGGAAACAGAAGCTTGGATCTTATGCGTATAAGACTACCCCCTCTTCCGCACACCTTCCACACACCAAATAAAAGGTGCTATTCATTGTCACCACTGTACGGCCGGAGCGCGACCGCAGTGCCTCCGGGCCGCACCTGCATTTCCCTGTGACTGGCACTAATGTGCAAGTGTGCATGTGTGAGCTCTGCGTAGACAAGGGGCGGGCCGGAGCGCCACTGCTTCCCGCCGAACAGAACAGGCCAGTCACATCGAAAAGGCTGGCACCCCTGTCCCGCTGCTGATGCTCACCGCGGCTGCACTGGATACCGCACGATACTGGATGGTATGTAGAATGAGGTGGGCAGGCATCGGGAGGCTACTATGGGCACCAGGCGAGCATTGGAAAGCCACTATGGGCAGCTATGTCTATCCCAACTGAAGTGCACCCGGCGTTTAAGATGATCCCCCCACTTAGGGACATGTTTTTCAGGGCAAAAAAGTAGTCTTATACGCCAGCAAATACAGTATTTCTACCAACTTAGGAAGAGTCTGTAGAACAGAGATCTGTATAGGAAACAGAAGCTTGGATCTTATGCTTTTATTTATTTTATTTTATTTTATTTTATTTATACCCCGCCTATCTGGTCATTGCGACCACTAATGTAACTAGGAGGCAATTTCTGCTGATAGACCTGCCATGTGCAGTCCCTCTCAACACATCCCATATCATCCCCTAATGTCCCACAGCCCTTAGAAACAGACTTAAGAGTTACATGCACAGGATCCTCAAAAAGAAGGGGAAGATGGTAAATCAAATAGTATGGACAAAACTGAACTTTGGATATCAGTTACAGAGAATAAATGTATACTGTATAACCATCAGGTTCCAAACACTTTTCAATGCCCCAAAATTCAAAATGAAACAAATTGTGTAATTTATTAAAGAAGAAAACCATACTGGGAACAACACACATTTCTAGCTATGGTTCCTTGCTATGAATACAATACTGACAAAAGGAATAGCTTAGTTGACGAATTAGCTGTTGAAAGACAATGAAAACACAATTCAAGACCTCTGAATAGAGGTTGAATAATGCAGTCACATATAGAAAATTAAAAGGATTAAATGTTAAATCTAGAGACAGAATGTAATACAGCCAATAAATTGGCTTCCTTTGTGGCCATCCCAAGTCATGTTGCTACCTGAGCTCAACAGGATTTCTTCCCATATTCTACATACAGAAACTGAATGGACATTTCTTCAATAGAAACAACAGGATATCATCCTTCACCATAGCTGAAAGCAGAAGACTACCTTACTAGCAGCAGGGTTGACCATGTAGCATACAAAGCTCTGTTTTCCTATATTACAGCATCCTTAACATTTGTTACTGAGGTAGCTGATTCATCTATTTAAGGATAGGGCTGGCTATATAATTCACTTATCCTATCTTAACCCAAACGGAAGTTTTTTGTAGCTGGTGGGTGGGTGGATGCAGGGGCATGTATGCATATAGACAAATAGATATAGGCCAATATGGATAAAACAGACCTGTCAAACAATAAAGATTTCAAATCATCAGACTGCTAGGTTTTAAACAGCGATTGTACAGATGGGTGACCAGCAACTTATGGGTTGAATATGACTTCCAGTGCTGGTTAATCTGAACTCTGATGACCTTATTGTTATTGCTGTTTAGTCAGAGC